AATAACTGCCCAGCATCCTCTGCCCAACCAATCAGAATGTAGGAAAATCTACAGATATGACGGAATCTACTGTGAATCTACCTACCAGAAGTATGTTGAAATCTTTGTGAGTCTTCCTTCTGGCTCGTGCATCAGTGCTTGTGGTTGCCAGCTATTCAAAAATATCCTTGTATTGAATGAAACCTTTTATTTCTCTAATTTAGTGGGGGAAAAAAAAACAAACCAAAATAAAACAATCAAAAAATTTGCCTCTGAAATTAAGACAGAAATAATGTTAATTCTTTTGATATTGTTATTTAAAAAATGATTGTATTAGAGCTCGTAGGTAAGCTTCTTTATATTGCAATAAACAAGTACTTATATGCAAGAAAATCTCAGCAAAATACATTGCACAGGTGCTGTGCATCTTAGGGATTTGAAAGGTGTGTTATGTATAAATTAGCTGTCACTTTTTTTCAATCCTGTAATGGAATGATGAGTTGTAATTTGCATAATCCTTTAAGAAGTCAAATTATACTGTCATGTAGCAGACTTAACATGCTAGCTAAGATTTCAGAGCTTTGCAGCTAATTACTATGTACCTTACAGGACAGTTAAATTGAAGTTGAATTCTCTGCCTTTGCTGCCATTTGCTTTGTCCATTACTTAACAGAATCTGCAGTGGTAACGAGGTGATGTTACTATCACTGAAGTAAATACTCTGCTCTGGAGAAGAAAGGCATTTTACTATATCCTAGCTTGACATGTATTGCTTTTGCTAAAAAGAAAGTTTTAATTTTTTGTTTTTTAAAACAATGGTTTAAATTGGAATATTCTCAAAAAGGACAAAATTTACGCTTTTCAGAAAAGTTATGGAATATTAATCGAAGCAGGATTAACCCTTAATTCATTAGATTTCCCTATAAAAATGTAAAGTAAGGTAAACATAATTCCATTGACGGCAGAAGCCTTTCTAGATGTACTTTGCAGATATACTTTGATGTGTTTTTATCTAGAAACTCTTAAATTCTTTGGCAGTAGAGTTTCTGTATTGGAAAAAAAATACTTTCTTTTCCTTAAAAATCCTTTCTAAATACAAGCTGGTGAGTTCTACTTTTATTTACTACTACAGTTGCTTATAGAACGTTTTCTTTCATGGTTTCTGTTTTACAAACCATTAGAAAATCCTGGAGCCAGTGGAGGCTGCTCTCTGAAATGGACACAAACTGGATATCAGAAGGGGATGGGACTCTTCCTTGTATCTTTGCTACTTATTTGTCTCTGACTTTATTTCTTGATATTCTATTGCCTAGATAGCGTCATTCATTCTCTTCATCAGAATTGGTGTTCTTAATAATGCGAAATTTTTTCTTATTATTTTTAAAAATTCTTGTTATCTGTGAGTCACTTATCATGGCTCTTGGTGGTCAGGTTTCTGTAAATTTTAGTGATTTTGTGGCTTTGTTGTGATTCACGGATACCTCGAAGAAGCCTTTTGCTGTGTAAGAAGGGGATCCTTTAAGGACCATCTTAAAGCAGCTGTTGATTATTGACCATTCAAGTAATTGGAGACCAAGAGCTAGCTGTTGTTCATTTGTAATTTAGCTAGCTTTAAACATGTCTGAAATTACTATCTGCTTCGAGGCCGAGGTTTGCCTATTCAAGGTCAGGAGCCCGGATGAGGTCACCAGGAATCCAGCTCACAGCAAGGTTTTTCTTCTAACCGTAGGTATCATCTCAAGGCCTGGCTCTTTTAAGAACTGGTGTTATTTGTAGTCAAGGTAGACACAGTAGGCAGCACAGCTGTGACTGCCAGGCAGAGTCACTAGGGGGATATTCATAACAAGGAAATATTGGCAAATAAATGATGAAGAAGGGGAGGAAATCCCCAAGATGTTAAATTGGAGCACTGTCACTGAGATGATTAATGGTGTTGTGTATTTTAGTGAAGATACTTATCTGGATTTTCTTGAAACTATAGTGTACATTTAATACCACCTATAAAAAAGCATGCGGTGCATGAGCACACTGAAGACAAAAGGCCGTGGATTCAGATTTTCCTGAGTGAGTATTTTCTCTAGCTAAGTCTTTGGCTTCTGGTTATTAGAAAGCTGGTTTTGATATGTTATATATAGAACTATGTGTATTCTATGTAATATATTTATTATTAATCAACTTTTATATAGCCCCCTTCTCTAGAGGGTTGAAAATATTTTGTGAAAAAGATGAGTATCTTTTCAACACTCTAGAGGAGTGAACATTATTAGTTACAGGGAAAGGATGATCACTCGGATTTGCCTAGTAATCCTAGGCAAACATGTGGAGTTGGTCATAGAGCTGCAATGTAAAGGGCCAAGGTTTCGTCAATGATGGGGTCAGTACAATTCTTAAAGAACTTCTCTATCAATTTCTGGTGAAGGGGAGGCTGTCTTGGAACACCCTTTACCTTTCAGTGTCAAGTCATAAATATCCTGATTCTGTCTAGTGAATTAGCTTTTGCCTTGCGGGGGTGGGGGCGGTCTTTCATCAGTGATGGAGGTGCATCTTTGAGCAAGTTGCTTAACCTACTTGGGTCTCAATAATTACTACTAGACATTGAGAGAGATACAAATGCCTTGTAATCCTATCTTCAATGAGTTTAGTGTCTATTAGAGCACTGATTTTCAATTTTGGGGGCCCTGTCCAAACAGTAGGATATGAATCTAATTTAGTGGATAAGAATTTTTTAAACAAAACAGAAGAGAATAGAAAATGTTAGTGCATTGCACTTAGTAAGGGTGTGTTTTATCCTGTGAGGCTTCTTTTTTTGTTTTGTGTTCGTGTATGTAAAACTACATATATGTGTATTCACCAGGTGGGTCATGAGGTAAAATGTTTTTACTGTTTTACATCCAAAAAAGATTGAAAGCCACTGTAATGGAGAGCTGAGTAGGTAAACATGATAACGTATAGATGTTATGTCATGTGTTTGGGATACAGTTGGTTATAAAGAAAGAAATGGTCAGTTCTGTGGAAAGGGGTCAGGAATGAAAAGGCTACACTCTCTGGTCTCTTATATCAAGGATGTGCTGGGCCATCCTGGATGGACAAATTTCCCATTCTATGATCCCTGACCTCATAGTAGTAAACTTCAAATTAGAGCAAGTATTTTCACCATTGAAATTAGAAAATGCTGCAAATCAGGTGCTTTCCCCACCACCTCAACTAGTTGTTACATATTTACCAGACTGTCACTGCTCATTCCAGTATAGTTCTATGGCTTTATAATTATTGTGAGTTATTTTATATTTTAAAACATTATTTTATATGTTGCACTTAGATGTTATTAGGAATTATTAAAATAAATCTTAAATATTGAAAATTTAAACTATATAGGAATAAAACCTGATTGTTGTAAAATGTCTAACTTATGAGTACAAAATAAATGGTAGTTACCCTAACTTGTTACATTAAACACTTATGACACAGCTGATTTAAAACTTCAGATGGTAGCTGGGATAAAGTTTCTTGGTAAAGGATAGGAATATGATTTTTTTTAAAACACTAAGCATGCAGTAAATATTTTACAAATTTCATTGTTTTATGTTAAACTGTCATTTGCTAAGTACTAAAACTTTCAGGTCCCAGATCCCTATCCTCATTTTCAGCTGTCTATATAGTTTGCAATGATATCTCTGGATTTTAGTAAACTCACTTGTAAAGTAGTAGATTTGATTGGGAGATGCCAGTGTTCTTTTTAATTAAGATAATTATCAGGCTTGCTTTTTTTCTATTTTCAAACATAAAAGTACAAGCAGTATGAAGAGGGTGAAAAAAGAAAAGACACATCTCTCCAGAATACCTATAACTTTAAAATTTATTTTTAAAGAAAAGCAAAAAAAAAAATATTTGAGTCTGAGGAAAGGTAAATTTCATGGACATGAGATGAAATTGTAGCAATAAATCCATTGAAAATCACCTGTGTTAATATGTGATCGTGAGGGAAGACACTAGGTAGAAAAGAGTCAACTGAGAAGGGCCTTTATAGCCTCAAAGTTTGTCACCATTCAGCTATCTGATTGGATTCTACTGTAGAGGTGTTTGAGGAAGCGTGAGCATCCTTAAAGCTGTGTTCAAGAACAATCATTTTACCAATATTTAGGAAAGACTGACTCTTGAGGAGACTGGAACTTAAATCACTAACATTTGTTGAGCACATGCCCTGGCATTGCAGTGGGCACTGCAGTACCTATTTTAAACAAAGGGTTTTAACTCTGGTTCCTAGTTACAAAGTGCAGCCTAGATTGAGAAGGGGGTTTTAATTGACTAGAGAGTTGTCACCTAAAGCAAAAGAGGCCCCTGGCAAGATGGTGAAGGTTGTCTTTGTTTCCTGTATTTTCCATCCCAAGCCCTTTCTCCTCTTCTGTGAAATTCATTCTCCCTGGATACCTGGTTACTGTTGCATGCCTGGGGCTTTATCTCCAGGGACATTTTTGTCTGAACCCCTCATTGCAGATTAGGTGTTAACTGATAATGCTGATAATGTTACTTTTCTTGATGTCATTTGCATTTTAGTATGTAACTGCAAATGAAAGAAGTCAAGGAGGAAAAAAAAAGAAGTCTTCTCTAACAGAATCATTTTAGATACCACAATGGGGGTTAGAGAAATTAATTTGGGGCTGATGGGGGCTGTGTGTTTGACATTTTTCTCCTTTTCCTGAAAATAATCCCGAATGTGGGTGTTCTCCTACATTGAAGATTGAGAAGATTCAGACTCAAAAGAGAAGGAATTAAGATGAGCCAGGGATAGGAAGAGGAGAATTAGTGAAGAAGGAACTCACCAGTCTCTAACAGCTGTGTTGTGCCAGACAGAGGGCTAAGAGTGCTAACCACCTGCACGTGTTATCCCAATTAAGGAAAACAAGACAGGTGCCTTGTCAGGCAGGTTGTTGGGGGTGGGGGGGATAGATGGTCACCTGTGCTGAAGGCGGGGAGAGAGGTCAAGGAGGCTCCAGCAGCAGCAAAATCTTTTGCTGGTTTAACCTGATTGATTGATTGCTATTTTACAGTCTTTTTCCCCCACATTAGAATAATTTATGCCAGTTGTGTTTGGATCAGTAAATAAAGAACAG